TTTGTGGTGACTGTCTTTTTCCTCCAGTGTTGGGGATGGAACCCAGCATTTCTTGCATACAAGGCAAGCAATCTACCAACTAAGCTAGATCTCCAGCCCTTATGTATTCAATTTTATGTACAAAAAAAAATCACACTATAAATGTTTATTGGTACTATGGTATCTTTTGCTGCACGATATATTTTCATCATTAATAGTTGAATGCTTTTACAGTGTACCTCTAGTCATTTAACCAGTATAATAAAAATGTTTATTTACAATATTTCATGGTTTTGTTATTTATTTTTTAATAACACTATAATTATGTGCCCTTATACAGTTGGGAAATTATTTTCTTAAATTCATAGAAGGTTAATTGCTAAGTTAAAGGGTACATCTTTTTTTGTCTTTTTGAGACAGGATCTCCTTGTAGCCCCAACTGTCCTGGAACTCACTGTGTAGATCAGGATGGCCTCCAGCTCACAAAAATCCATGTGCGTCTGCCTCCCAAGTGCTGGGATTAAAGGCGTGCACCACCATGCCCAGCTACATTTTATTTTTTAACTGCACATTTTCCAAAGTGACCTCCAGAAAAATTATCCCAAACTGTGATCATGTAGAACATTAACCTTCTACTTTCCTACATATAATTAGTTCTGGATTTTATCTATTTTACATCAAATAGTCAACAATTTCTACTTTAGCTTAAAGTAATAGATAGTACAAAGACTAGGTTTAGAGCCAAGTGTAGTAGCTAACGCCTGTAATCCAACACTTGAGAGGCTTAGGCAAGAAGATTATCCCAAATTTGAAGCTAGCCAGGGCTACATAGCAAATTGAAGGCCAGCCTGGGCTACAGTGTGAGACTGTCAATAAAAGCCAAAAAAGGCCAGATGTGGTGATGCACACCTTTAATCCCAGCACTCCGGAGGCAGAAGCAGGTGGATCTCTGTGAGCTTGAGGCCAGCTTGGTCTACATAATGAGTTCCAAGCCATCAGGGGCTACAGAGAAACCCTGTCTCAAAACAAAAAAAAAAAAAACAGTAACAACAGAAAGAATAAAGAGGGGAAGCAAGAAAAGGAGGTTTAGAGTTAGACCCAAATTTGAAATGGTTGTGCCAATTATTAGTTTTGTGACTTGGACCAACCATTTC